TTATATCAGGGTTACTATTTCAAAATTACTATTACAAATTTGTTCTTAGGTATCAGAAAAAGATCCTAAATGTAGTGTGGCAGATACTCTGCAATTATAATATCAATATAGTAAGTGATGAGGCATTATTGAAAATGAATAGCATTTCTGGTGATAATGTTTTATTGATTGTACTAATCAAATAAGTATTACCATATTTTATAACTCTTCCCACCCTTGCTGCTGTGGCTCACGTTGCCCCCGAAACGAATGTGCGAGGTTGCGGTTCTCCACAGGATCGGGCGATCACTAAACGATGCGAATCTCAAGTACACGCTGTTGAAGAATCGGAGGCCCCCGAAAAGGGCCCCACAGGAACAAAATTGATTGATTGAGAAGTGATTGTTCTAGGCGACGGGAGATGAGAATGAAATTCAAATTCTACGGTAATGGAATGATGATTTAAATTTATTGCATTTTCCCAACTCATCTCGTAGCTCCTTTGGCACGAGTGGCCGTTGGGTAAGAGGGCAGGTGGGGCAACTTGCCCTAGACCCCGATTGAATTGGGTTATTTTCATTGAAAAGAAATAAAGTGTATATGTGTAATGTTAATTTAACGATGTAAGTTATTTCTGCTGCATGCAGGCATGAGTTCTGTTTGTGAATTAGTAGAGGAGGGGACTTTTTGTTTGAAATGAGAGCCCCTCGTAGATCAATAGCCCCTGGCCCCTGGTTTTGTCTTGGTACCCCTGACTTTTGAGCGTACCTGAGTAATCCTCTCTGAATTTTTATAACGTCACGTGTCTATGCCGTTTATCCCTTCGCCCAGGGGCTCGGCGCCGGGATTAGTAACCGGGGTTCACAGACGGCCACCCGCCTAGGCATCGTTGGTGTTTCGGGAGACTTAACTTCCGTGACTTAACGGAGCGTAGATACGGAGTTCGGCTAGCGTCGCCAGTTATATCTTAAGGTGGTTAGAGTGAGATAAGCGTTATGTTTACCATGCCTTTTTTATTGTATTTATCGAAAGATCGAGAGGTTCTTGTATGTTCTGGTAGAGTTCGAATCGATTTTAACGTCTAGTTTTCGCGAAACAAGATCGTAAAGCTTGCTGTTTTATCGTGGGTTCTTATGATCTGACCTGAAATTTTAAAGTTGAGAAAAAATTAACTGTTCAATATGTTTTTAAAAGCGCTTCTTTTGGTAGCTAGCATCTCGAAGAATCAATATGCGCAATTTGAAGGACATCTACCGTTTCAAATGGGAGAATTTTGCAAACTCATAAACCTAATTCAGTCCAAAGGAAGACGTTCGCGCGCTTTCTAGAGGGTTGGGGCAGTGACGCGCATCTCGGCAACACCGCGCGCGCAACGCGCTTCATTCGAATCGTGTGACTAGACCCAAGAGTTCTAACATTCCTCTGGATCGTCTGGGAACAATTAAAATATTTTCACTCGTGATAGTTACCAGATATTCAAAAAACTGTAATTTGATGGATATACTGATTAGTGCGATCTGAATGAAAATCTTCCTACAATTAATATTCCCAATGATTCACTTTGATACTACTCCTTGAGTAAATGGGTAATCTTGAGAGTTAATGGAATTTTTTAAACATTCAGTACAGTATTATTATTTTGTATTGCGCAGTAAACCAGTCTTTTGCTCCTGAACAATAATTATTTATTCAATTATTAGAAAGTTATTCATATTCTCTTTTTTATTGTGGAGATACCCAGTGGTTGCCATTGCCTTCTACATCACAGGTGCTTACACAGGACTCAAAGCAGTAATTTTGAGCATAGATCAGCTCCCCGATCTATAGAACTACTGAGTGGGCATTCAATTAAGAAAGAAATAGACTTTCAAATGAGTTGTAATGTTTAAATACTGTTTCAAATGAGTTGTAATGATAAAATACCGTTTTGCTGGTGTTAATATCAACCATTCAAGGTATATGTTAAATCAGAGCTGTATTTTCCCATTAGCAAAATTAGGCTTGGGACTCCCATCCCAGTGCCGGGATTTTTTAAAGTAATTAATAAAAACTTCATAAAAAGTTTCTATCTGAATAATCATTAATCAGATAGTTTACTGAACAACGATGTTTCATTTTAAAAATAAACTGAATAATAAGAAACCAAACAGGTATTTGTAAATAATAAATTTAAAATGCAATTTCTACTTTGTAAACAATTTGTTAATTTACATCTGTATGGACCAATGATTTATTTGGTCATAATTAGTGTATATAGTATTATAGTATATATATATTTATAATTAGTTTTTAGTTTCAAAGATTTTTCTGAAGGAGTGCCCAGTATAGTTTTGTGCTTGAAGGCCTTCAGTATCTAAATCCGCCCATTGGCAAATTTAATAATTACATTTGTAATTAATAATTGCATTTTATTGAAATTGTAAGAGGGATGATATATTCAGCCTTTGGTAGTTTTAGTATTTTACTAGAAACCCTTTCTTCAGCACTACATTTTATGTAATTGTTTACATTTCCTGAAGAATAGTAATGTATTTTGAATGGTTCTCATATCTTATATTCAAAACATTTAAACCTCTTTTCATCTTGAGTGCAACATCAAGACAAACGATTATAAAAGACTATGCCACTTGGAAATCTCTTTTGAAGATTTTATCTCCAAGAAAGTTATAATTTTATTATTGAAGGTCTCAATACTACAGCCCTCAGAATGATACGTTGCAGTAATTTCATTTTATTAGCTTTAGTTTGATATGTACTCTACACAATAATCTGCATCTAAATCAATGTTAAAATATGATATAAAATTTTACTGAAAACCAAATAGTTTCTATGAATTATATAATAAAAACTTTAAAATATTAAAAGTTGATCATGCAATTTAATTTACTAAGTAAAAATAAAATAGGGGAGTAACAACAAAAAAATATTGTGATGAGAAAGATAATAAGGAACAGTCAATGATTACGATTTCTGGCAAGTTAAATATACATTTTATACAATGTTCGGGGGAACCAAACTGTTGATCATGTTAAGCAATCGAAAAATGAATGTTTGTGCCCTACTATTGGCTCAGGTAATTCAAGGAATAAAAATTACAGAGAAACAAACATTGAACAAATATTTGAAAACTTTTTTATTACGACACTATTCTTGTTATATGGGGGAATTATTTCGTTATCTCTCAAATCCCGCTTTGGAAATAAACCTTCGGGCAATTCGCTTCAATTGTGATATTTAGCGCGTGTTGACCAATGGCGACGAACAGTGATTCAAAACAACGAAACTTTGAAGCATGAGCTGTGAGCAGTCATACCAATCTCAAAGACATTACGTTGCCCAATTTACCAAAGACTTTTCGCCCCACTCAAACATGGACATTTTTGGCATTATTAGCTATCACTGTTCAAAAATATATAGATATGTCTATAATGCTACTTTTTATAATTTTGCTCATACTAATTGTTCTATAAAAAAAAGTAATTTCTTAAAAGATAGATTTATTCTGATCTCACACTAGTACGGAGTAATCATATACAAGCCAGATCCAACAATTTTCCTGAAGATGTACCAGTGTATGCCAAAGTCGTCGTTGCCCAGGGAGATGTCCAAAGTTAGTAGCCGTAGCACCGAAGTATCTGCCCGAGAGAGAGAGAGAGAAAGAGAGAGGGAGAGGGAGAGAGAGACACACACACACATTCTCTCTCTCTCTCTCTCTGTCTCTCTCTGTCTCTGTCTCTCTCTCTCTCTGTCTCTCTGTCTCTCTCTCTGTCTCTGTCTCTCTCTCTCCTCCTCTCCTCTCTCTCTCTCTCTCTCTCCTCCTCTCTCCTCTCTCTCTCCTCTCCTCTCTCTCTCTCCTCTCTCTCTCTCCTCTCTCTCTCCTCTCTCTCTCTCCTCTCTCTCTCCTCTCTCTCTCTCCTCTCTTTGCTGTTCCGTCAACACTGTTCACAATTCACTGATGCACACGCTACTGCTGGTAGGCGCTCAACTGCCCTTCCCCCTAGATAGGGGTGGTGCCTGGGCGCGCGTGACGGCGCCTCTTTTGAGCGCGACGGTACTAAGTTCCGGCGGTTCTTTCAATGGTGCGCAGTCGACTACTGCACTAATTGTGTAATAGTGCTTGTTTATGTTCAGTCTTATGCTTCAATTTTTCATTCCGTGGCCACGCGATCTGTTAAGACACTAGTCAACAGTAGGTCTGTATATGGTTTTAAAGTATTTGTATTTTACATCTATGAAACAATATTATTTCGTATAATTAAATAACACTGGGCATAAAAGACTCTATTTTGTTTATATATGTCCTACAATACCCCTTTTATCTCGCAAATACATATTTTTGAACATAGAATGGACTCTACTAGGAAATATCTTGCTCTAACCACTTTAAATGAAATATGTAAATAGGAATTCACTATTTTAAATGTTTTATTCCTTCTACGTCGATAATCGTTTCTCGCCGCCCTCGAGATAAAATAACCAATTCCCCATAAAATCAATGGCTCATTGGCTCCAGCGTAGTCTACGCTGTAGTCTCGCAAACCGGGAAGTGCTTGTGTTCTATCTCGACGATGGCGTGGTTTCGACCTTCGAATTGAGACACTGGAGCAGAGTTGTAGCGGCCGCCTGCCTTTAGTTTCTCCGATCAACACTGCGCGGCTGGCGCTGCAGCTCCCAACCGAACGTCCTTTGGCCGATCACGCCCTTGCCTTCCCTATTATTCCCCCCCTCCTCCCCTCCTTGTACATACGCACACTCACTATCATTACACCATCACCCAGGTCGGCAGTCCAGGTGCTTCCAGCTTTTCCCCTCTGGTGTCCGTCACCTGGGTTGCAGAAGCATTCCAAAACGCATTTGGTGTTGACGGAAGAGGTACCAAGAAGTATTGTCATTTGCACTGTGATTGCCACAGAAACATTGTTGAAATTGCACTGTATGTGTTGTACTTTGAAATTATGTTGTCCATTAAAAGGATATTTTCTTTTTGTTTGGTTTGTCATACTTTTGCTTTGGTTGTGCAGGAGGAGTTGGAACCTCCAGTTGCTGTGCTCGTTGAGCCAATCAAGAAGCACGAGGAAGTTTGTTTCAAGGAAGAGACGGTAAGAATACTTACTATTAAATAAAGTAAGAAATTCCTATTCACTCTGCTTATAAACAATGTGCATTGCTACTTCAAAACCAGTCTTGAATTGTTTTGTAAGCAGATAACTCTGATCTACAAAAAATCCTTTTTGTCCGGTACTAAGGAAAATTCACCTATAGCACACTGAAATCAATGCACTGATTCCATATTTGAAATGAGATTTACGTCACATTTTTGTGCGTGATCTGGGCTGTCCGGGTGACGCCGCGTCGAAGGCTGTGTTGCCGACGTTTCTACCATCCTGTCATGGTCTTTCAGGCTTTGAAAGCTTGTGAGGTGTATGCTATTGTAGCCAAACAAATTCAAATTAGGGGAAGATAACTTCCTTCACAGGTCACCAACCAGCAGTGTTGCCAGATGCTGAATTAGGGAATGAATATTCCGCGCGAGCACAGCGCGACCGAAATTAGCGTGATGCTAACAGAAGTTGAACTGCCTTGACGGTTTCATTAGCCAAATCTGTGTTTTATTTGCGCTTCTTCATTCGAAATAAGAGGAATGGCAAAAAATGTAAGAAAGTTGGAGGCGAAAATAGTTGATGTTTAATGGTCGAAGAAACATTGCGGAATTTGTGCACATCGGCTGCGAATTTTACTTCAAAGAGGAGGACGAAAATGCGGAAATAGCGCAATCTGACAACACCGCAGACTAGTGACAAATTTCTCCTGCTGCACTGACAGACGAGTTGGCATTAAACGGAGAAGATTGTGAGGTACACGAGTCATGTGATCAAGCCATAAATCACTCAACGGAGCTATCGTCTACTGCACTAAGCAAGGTCACAATACTCCTCTAAGGAACGCAGGGAGTATCTCAGGAAACATTAGTCTACATCACACATTATGCCTACCCCAAAGACAGGATTGATGAGATAGTAAATAGAACAAGTTATGCTCTGTTCGTTTCAAGAAGATTGTTACAGAACTTCTTTATGATCTGTATGGAAACTCGCAGTTCCAACAATTTTAGCAGCTTTTCTACCACACTTAAGAGAAGTATATTGTTCAGGAATAATAATTCACTAAAGATATCTTCAAAAGGATAATCAACGCTATCTACGCCGAAAGTTTTGCACAAAGTTGGCATCAGTTATAGTTCTAGTTCATTTACAACCCCCAAAATTAAGGACCCTGCTCTTTTCTTTTTACACGAGACTATTTAATGTTTAAGTAAGGGAACGATGAAATAAAGAAGTACGAGTACAGTAAGACTTCTTTTAAATCGTGTTGGTACGGTAGACAGACCTCGAATATAGTGAAAACTGTAATTCTAGGAATACGATTTCGTATGTCGTAATAATTTGTGCATCACATGCTCCTTCAGAATATTAGCAGTCTTTATTTTTGATTTATTTGCGTACACTTTGTGAGAGATCATGTGATAAATCTAAGAAGACGAAGCTTTTTAGTAATGTGATATTCTTGACGTTCTAATTTTGTGTTTATTTTAGTTTTCACGCATTGAAAATACTTTTCAGTGACTACATAATTTGTAACGAAGCTCCTCCGTTTTAGTTATTATACTCTTCCATATTCTGAAGACTATTAAAGTCATGGAACGTACTAGAACGTTCTCGTGTTCGATAGGCGTGTTTTGGGCACACCAATAAGGCGGACTGGCTTCACCTGCGGAACACGGCAGATGGTGGAAACGCGACCTCCACGACCAATTTCTGACTAAAATGTATTTTGTCTGGAATATGTTAATAACAGTGGATAGGACAATTCTTTGAAAACAAGTTTTTGCACCCAACTTAAGAGCGAAGTACAAAACATTTTTACGCTGTTTTGGCTGTCAGTGAATTTATAAACACCTTTTGTTGTAGGATCCTCTTGCTCCTGACTATGATAGTGTTGCTACTGCGTCAATAAAACTAGAGGACGGGTTCAATGTTTCAGGTGAGTGGTAATATCTTTTTTGTATCATGCTACGTTTGAAGGGTGAAATAAGCCTATTTGTTTGCGGTGTAAATGTTGAAGCCCGAGTCCCATACGCCGAGGAGCACAATCGTAACGAGAATAAAAAAAAAAGCCTTGTTTCTCTTGTGTAACGTATACTGTTTTTCGCCGTACTGATGTATTGTGATGACGTAAATTTGCAAGCCGCTAGGCAGCCGGGTCGTAGATAAGCGGTGACACATTCAACTGGTTACCGCACTTTTTTGAATTTGTTGCGTATATATCGACGCAAAGCATCTAACTCCGTGAGGTTAATAAGCGCCCTTTATGGGCAGCTGTATTTTTGTAAGTCACGTCAGTCATAATCGAGTCAGAGAATCGCCGTAAGGTAGCGTCGTCACGCTCGCACACGCCCTGCGTCACTTACACATCGACCGAAATTGGGAAGGAACATATAAGGTTTAGGACGCTTCACAGGGGATGGACTAGCCCCTGTGAAGCATGATAACTCGTTTTGACGTGACAAATTTCACCTAATCCTTAAATACACAGCGTCACGAGAATGCTTTATTGTTAAATATTTGATCCGCCAATTTCGATTTTCCAATTTTGTCATCAAATTCTTTATCATCTACCCTCAAAATCTTACTACACACATTTTCTTATATTTTTATACAGAGCTTCTAATTCTGGCCAGTTGTTTGGCCATTTGGAACCAGTTTGCACCGCACTGATAAAAGAAGGCGATAATGCGGATATAATGGCTGCCTTTCGTTCGCGTTATTATAAACTAATAATTTTATTTACAGCAACGTGCTTCGTTGGAACGTTTTTGCAGAACGAGAATACTTTGAATTTAATGGCAGAAAGCTCTTTTTGTTTATGCGTTTTAATTAAATAAATATATGTATTCACGCTGCGTTTAAGAATTTTTCAAATAGTAGTTGAAGTGTAAGGCAGAAATTGTCAGATTATAATATTACAAAGTCATGAACAATATCGCTGGAAAGTACGTGCTACTGTAGCTAGATTACTTTCTCGTTACCGAGGTACACACAAATTCGGCGAATTTTCTCTAGAAAAACGTATTACAGGGCCCTGGCAACGAAAAAGTAGACAAATTCAAATGCTAAATTTAGAACACCACCCTCTAACACGTGTGACCAGCATCCATGTTTTGTGGGTCATTCTTACCGAAAAATCTGTTGACGGCAAAACGTGTCTGTGAACAGGTAATAATATTACTAGTGACTTTCATTTATTCGGGCGGACAGGCCCGCTCTTCCACCTGACAACGTAATAACTAACAAATTACGCCTAACAAACGCTAATAAAGATAAAATTGAAACAGTTACTTTAGTAAAACAAATAAAATACAATTAGATATTTCTTGCCCTTTGAGCTGCACAAAAGCGAAAGTAAAAAATACCGTCCCAGCATTTACATCAAAGCGACGGAGGAAAAACAAAGAAAATGTTGCATACTCTTTAAAATTGAACATCCAAAAACAAATATTTAAATATTTTAAAAAATCGTGACACACGAACACACAAACCGGCGTGCCCCAAAATAAATATGATATATATTAATATATGCGATGCGCGTCAAATGTTAACACAGCTCCATTAAAAAGAAATCATAAGAAGCATTGGAATGCACTCAACACCTGGCAGACGACGACGTAGGAACCATTTTCCAGTTTGTCATCATGTACCAAAGGAAAAGGCGCCTTCAGTCAAAACCATGACAAGTACTAGTAGAGATAATTTTAACGTTCTTATCTGGCTTGATTTTGCAAACTAATTTTTATTGTAATTGAACAGTTTTTTTTCTTTTTTCTTTTCAGTTTTTATTCTTTTTGTTGTCGGCCACTGCCACATGCGTACAGTTTAAAATAATGTCACCACGGCTCGCAATGATCTTAGCTATTGGAATCGCATATAAACACTAATTCATCTTTGTGTATTAAAATTATCGTGTATTAATTGCGAGCTTCGGATTTTGTTAATCGCGCAAAACTGGACGAGCAGAGTTTTTTGCCAGCTTTGTTTCGTTTTTTATGGCATCTAAGTGACAGGTAATGTGAAATTGTTTATATTGTAAATCTTACTGTTAGTTCGGGAGAGTTCACCAAAAGAACCCCCATTCACTCGTGGGCAGCTCCTTGTGCAAAAACAGTGTGACCGTCAAAATCTGACGAGTCCAGCGAGTTTCCATTTAGACGTCAGATCCGCATGTTCATCAGAGGCGAAGTGCAGAAACTTTGTATAAAAACGTATGGATGCTTACAAGGTTCGATTAGGGTGTGCCAGGAAACCTGTCCTGTAGCCTTATCAAATAAATACGAACGAAATTCGTAACGAAAATTTGATTTCGTCTGGACAGAGGTAACCATGACAATCTCTTTAATACTCTTGGGCCGGTTTCACCAACCAGGATCAAAATTCGTAGCTGATCCGGGTTTCGTGATCCTGATCCGCCGAGTCAAGGCCCACTTGATCCCTGTGCGTTTCACAAACCGTTTGAGACCGTGAAGTTGATCCAGATCCCATGATTCCCGAGCAGCCGGTGAAAATGCGCGGTTGGCAACAATATTACAATGCATTGTGGGTATTCTGCCCATCAGCTGCAGAAAAAAAATTGTTTTGATTTCGTTCATTTGGTTTCTGTCCATCGGGGTGCCTTGTGAAAGTTTCCGGTATCCTACTATGTCTGCAATTAATTTTTCCGAGGCAAAGAAAAATATGAAGAGGTCGGCAAATTTTTCTGCAAGCGAAAAAGATTTACTGGTTTCGATAATGTGCAAATACAAACATTATTTATTCACGCACAGACAGTGCTTCGAAGTTGACGCAAACCCAAATGTGGGAACAGTGCTCAACGAATTCAATGCCGAAGCGCTGTGCTCTGCACGTTACTTAAAAAGCCTGCAGCGGTTTTGAAAAACATTAAAAGGAGGACGAAGGATGATAGAAGGCGAAATAAGACGCCAAAGATACGTAACTGGTTAGTAATTTTCTCTTTGGAAACAAAGATAATGTAAGTGTGTATTCAGTTTATGTTGAATGTAAGATAAATTGTCTAGTAAAAATCGTTGTAGAGAAAGTAATTATAAATAAGTTAAACACAATCACTTATTAATAATCTCACCAATGGGTAATTTATGCATAAACTTGCTTAACGTTTCAGGTGGAGGGCCACCAGTGTCAATACCTGTCGATAGGATCCATGAAAGAAATTAAAGATTTCATGGTCCAGCAGCAAGGGAATGGACAATCCTTTTGATTCAGATGGGCAGACCTTGCTAAGTAATACATATTTCACTACATTTAATGCACTGAAATAGTAATGTTCTCAATTGAAGAAACAAAGATATCATAATCTAAAATGCGTAAATATTGAGCTTAACTGAAGAATGTTTTGGTCAGAATTTGAAGTAGTGTGCATGTTTAATTGTTTAAAATCTGTATTAAAAGTATAGTAGTATTCAGGATTAGATTTTCATGTTGCAGTGGCATTACACATTGTACTTCATTAATGCCCCTTATCCAATGCACGTTATATTACTGCTTTCATTAGTTTTATCTTGTCTATTTTTTCAGGCTCAATGAGGTTACTGTTAATGAGGTTATTATAACTGAAGATGAAGAGAAACCTTTGCAGGTGAGAACAGAACAGAACTGAATGAATATTCATGTTGCAAAGGTGAGTTACAACTCACTGTAATACTGGTGGTTGTGAATAAATTATATAACAACTTGTGGTAATTATATAATTTGAGCACTAATTTTGAATTAGGCCTATATGCCTTAGAAAGAGAGGCTTATTCAGTGTTTTGTAATTATAAATCAACTGTTACTTTTTTTCTGGTGAAATTTTCTCGTAGGACCTAGAGGTCTTGTTCGCACAATTATTCCAGAAATACGAGACAAGTACGTCAACCATTCTTGTCTCAAAAGTGGTTAGTTTGTTGCAGTATATTCCAAGATTTTCATTATTAAATTTTGCAAGTAACATTTAAAATTTGATAAGTTTTCCAGATATCATTTGTGTGCAAGATGAGTTTTGTGTACGCTTTAGTTTCATTTTTAAACTTCAGTTTGCTTATAAGTAATTTAGTACTCTTGATTTCATGTTCTTACAGAAAATTCTTGGAACTTTCTAAATGAGTTTCACGAGTCTAATTCAGTATCTGACAAATAATTGACTTGCTTTTTTCGGATTTATAGACCACTGCAGAAAATTCCACCCACCACCATCATTACTGAACGGCGACTGGAGCAGGGGTTCGCCAGCTCTGTTGAGACTGTGATGTGTCCCTTTTGCAGCCTGTGGGCAGTATGCGTACAAATGAAGCCCCTGCCACAGCCGGCCCTGCCACAACCTGCTGGCCGTTGTGGCTCCAGGAAGCGTCCCCGGATGCAAGACAATGAGGATGCTAGGACAAAAGCACTACTGGCAATAGAGCGATTTTATCACAATGAAACCAGCGAAACCAGGAATTGCATGACTACAAGCTGTTTGCAATGAAAGAAGAAAATAGGAGGCAGGAGGAGATGCATGCCCTGAAGATGTCATTAAAAAAAGCAGATAAATAAACACATTTTTAATGTATTCAAAATATTTATTTCCAAAACTGTTCCTGACATTCCATATGTAATACCTTCAATGATTGAAGAAATTTAAAATTTTAGTACTTTTCATTGTCTTGTTGAAAGACTTGCAAAAATAATGCAAATAAGGTTTTCTATATGTAAATTGTTCGTTACATCTTCGCCTAGCAGGGAGAGTTTGCTGCATTTCTTCCTCAGTAAGTAACGTGTGTCCATGGCAGATTAAGGTCAGAATCATCAGGTGGTAAGTCTTCTCCTGCTTTTCTAATATATTGTGCAGGACTACAGTAGCTACAATTACTGCAAACTATTCTGCAATGACAATCTGAGGCCTATTGCTAGTACAGGAAACCTCCTTTTCCAGACACCAAAAGTCCTTTCCACAACATTCCTCGTTCTTATGTGGGACTCGTTGTATAAATGTTCTGCTTCGGTTAGAGGTTCATCGAGAGGTGTCAACAAATATCTTGAGCATGCATATCCTGCATCCCCAAGAAGCACACTGTCCCTGTACACGCCACTGAGGAATTTTGTATTCTGTACGAATGGCCAAATATCGTACTATCATGGCAGCTTCCAGCCACCTCGCAACTACATCAATAAATCTCATATTAGAATTGCGTATTGCTTGCACGTTTATTGAAAAATAATTTTTCCTGTTCTGAAATGCTTCAGCATTATACCACCAGGTGAGTTAATCCGCATATGGGTGCAGTCGATTGCCCCTACAACATTCGGAATGAAGCGATTGCATAAAAATCCAATTTATTTTTTGAAAGTTCTCGACCCCTCAGGAAATTGGACGAATAACGGGAAAAGCTCTGCTATTGCGCATGTCACTCTCTACTACTCTGAAAGCAGTGGATTTACTGAAACCACAGTAGTCACCAGCTGTTAACAAGTCAAATTCGTTGCATAAAACTTTAAAGCACAGAGTAGGTGAGCATCGGAGCAATACTGTCATTCCTGAAAAGAAAAAAATGTTAATCATTAATTGTTAAATAAAATGGATGAACATGTTACATTCACTTTAACCTCAATCCTGTGGCTTGTGAAAAGTACAGGGATCTGCAATCGCATTGTACTATAATTTCAGTGGAAACAATGGTATTTCATACTTGCTTCTCATATGGCAATTCCAACTTTTCCTCAATCAACGAAAGGACATGAAGTGCCATCCGTTTAGAGAGGCAAATCTTTTGATGAAATCAGTGTCGTCCATAGTTTTCAAAATAATCGCTTCTTTCGCGAATTATTCTGGTCTCCGTACGTCTCCCACCAATAAATCTTGAATGACTTCATCATCGAAAACAAACTCCATTCTTGTTGATGAAAATTAACCTAATAAGAATGAAAGTTCAAAGTATCACTTTACAAAAAGTATTCAATAAAACTATCACACGCTAATATATCACAAAATCAAGAAAAAATACGGGAAAATATCGTTCTCAATTGACCTAACAAACCGTAATTGTACTGTTAAACTATTAACAGTAACAAATGTTATTTATAATCTACAATAATGGAAACCAAAAAAATATTAAATTTTACTCCCAAATACTGACTATTCTAACCTACAATTGTGTTAACCCTACTTTTATTTACAATACTCTCTTAAATAATACATATTCTATCCAATAAACATTACGCTCAATCCTACCTGTTAGCGAATACTCTTAACTGAATCCAAGTCCAACTACAGGTAAACTACACGAATTGACTTCAAAAAAGCACGGAAATCAAGCGAGATGAGCGGTTGCTGCGACCAAAGATGAGAAAAAAACTGGAAGTAACTTCTGCTGATCCGCCGTGATCCACCGCTCGGCGACGGATCAGTTGCGAGTCAAATTTGATCCGAGTCAGACACGTTGATTCGTGTCAAAGTGCGTGGAGAAACGTAACAACGGATCAAACGGAAATTGATCCGGATCAACTCGGGATCATCTTCTTGATTCCTGTTGGTGAAACCGGCACTTGTGATTCTTTCTCCAAGTACCATCTTTGTCAATTGTGCGTCTTCCTTTTCCAGAACACTTGTCTATGAAAAAACTTCGATAGAGAGGCTATGTTTCGTTGCAGCTTCTGCTAATTGCTCTCCCGAGTTATTTTACGAGTATTTCACAGCCTCAACACCCATCATGCTCTGCTCCCCATTTGTTAACAATACAATATTTGTTCCTCCTTTGTCCTTAATATTGGCTTGTCAATACGAATCCGTGGACCGCTCCCGGTTTTGGTGTGGAGTTGTTTCGTGGTGATAAATTGCTTTACGCACGTTCACAGGCGCCGAGGGCTCTCCGCCGTCAGAGGACGAGGTCCAGGCGATGAAGTTAGCACGAAGCCAGGGGCCTTGCACGAGCGCCAGCCGCGGCGTCTGCGGAGCATCTCCCAGCGCGTCCAGCGACCCTGCTCCTCCCACGCTGGATGCAGAGCGCCAATATTCCAAGGCTCTCGCACTTCACAAGCAGCAGCGCAAGAAGCGAAAGCGCGCGCAAACATCCAACGTGACCAGAAAACCACTTGTTGAGGCAGCTACTCAAGCCATTCACAAACGCAGTATCACGACGAAGGGGCCTCATTCATGCGACGTATGTGGGAAGGTTATCACAACCTTAAGCAACCTCATGACCCACAAGCGAGTACATACAGGAGAACGTCCATATGCTTGCGATGAGTGCGGAAAGGCTTTTAATCAGTCATGTGACCTCACCAGGCACAAGCGCATTCACACGGGAGAGAGGCCTTATTCATGCAACATGTGCGGGAAGGGTTTCACTACCTTACGCAACCTCGTCACACACAAGCGCACACACACTGGAGAACGGCCATATGTATGCGATGTTTGCGGTAAAGCTTTCAGTTGTTTAAACAGTCTGATCTGTCATAAGCGAACACACACTGGAGAGCGGCCGTATTCATGTGATGTGTGTGGAAAGTCTTTTAAGGAATCGGGCACCCTGGCCGAGCACAAGCGTACTCACACGGGTGAGCGGCCGTTTTCATGCGATGTGTGCGGAAATGGTTTTAAAACATCAAGCAACCTCACCGTGCACAAGCGCACTCACACGGGAGAGCGTCCGTATTCATGTAAAGTGTGTGGAAATGCTTTCAAAGACTCTGGCACTCTAGCCAAGCACATGCGCACTCACACGGGAGAGCGACCGTATTCATGCGATGTGTGTGGAAAAGCTTTTTCAGAATCAAGCAACCTCACCGTGCACAAGTTCTCGCACAAGGGACATCAACCGATTGGCTGTGACGCGTGCTCCCTTCGCTTCAGTAGGAAGTCCGCGATGATATCTCACTGGCAACGCTTTCACGTGACAAAGTGAACTTTGCTGTAGCTGTCCACTATTGCATCCTCAGTGTAGAGTAAAATTAAATTACAAAGTTAATTGAAATTGGTATGTACGTGGTACATGTAAAATGTGAGAATGTAGAGTCATTTCTATCTCCATAACTGTTTATAAACTAGTAAATTGCACTTCAAGATCGTCTGTATGTTCTGAAGCATTTAAAATAATATTTTTATATGATTATGTAATTCATCAAAATATGTGAACAAATTACTTTTAAAAACAATTGAACTAAAAATAATCCTGTATTAAACCGAAAATAGCCAGTTCAATCTTGTAATGATTTTTAAATTCTTTCATGGTAAACAATCATAATTTTGTGTAAGAAATAACCATTAAAACTTAATCAACACAAACCTATACAAATAAGTTAAAAACAATGTTCAAAATAGTGTGAACTGACAAAATACAAACTTCAATAGCTAGTTTTCCAAACTGCAATATATATACAATAAGTGCTGAAAGAAAACTCAAATAAATTTAACAGTGAAATGCAAATTTTATTATCCGACTGCATGAACGCAAAAGGTTTTGTCATGCCATTTATCATTGCCATTACTCACCGTCAGGTTTTTTGACTGAGTTCTCAGATTTTGTTAATATTTTAGTATATGAATACAGTGTTTATGCTCTAATGAACAATTGAAAGACAACTTATACTATTTATGTTTTCACGGGTTTACAACGATTACGGGGTGAACGTGGAGGATGATAATACACTTAACCCGTCGATGCACCGAATAAGAATATTACACTTACGCTTCAATGGCCTCTGAGCCCCCCCTCCTAATCACCACGCGTTAAGAGGATTCCCCCGCCCCCAAATTTAGCAACTGGATTTATCCTCTTTTTCGTTAACAGGGAACTGGAATAAGAGGTTTTCTGCCGAAAATTTGTCGTTTGTCGCGCAGGATTACACAAATTTCTTTTCTTAAGAAGTTCCTTAAGCGCGAGAAAGTAAAAATTCTATGTTATAAATAGATTGTTCAAATTCTTAACCCCTGATGTATTTATGAAATTATTTAAAAACAACATTTGACCAAGACTAGAGTCTGGATCCATCTTATGGCCACCTTACGTTGCTAAAAATGCTTCTCAAGAATATACAACTAAATTGCTACAGTGTTTTTGGAATTTTCCATATATACGTACTAGAAGCATTGGATCTTCAAATTTTGGAGGAAAGAAGAAAGCGTATAGAACTAATTGCTACATGGAAATCCTAACACACGAATGTGATAGGTCAGAATTGGCTGTGGTTTTTGAATTAAATATGAATGCTTGTTTAAGAGGACATCAGTAGAAATTAAATAAAAATCTATTTAAAAAAATCTAGTAAACAGTGATACAGTTGTTTATACTTCTACATACTACTACATCTACAGCTCTACTAAATATGTCTAGATTCACACTTGGATACTTTATATTTCAATGCGTTGTAGTTTTTAGATATGCATATTATATTATGAACCTTTTTGGTATATGTATTATAACATACTATTTATAATCAACAAACTTGAAGTGTATTAACTTACAGGCACAGGTCCTTCTCTCAACTTAATTAATAGTTGATACTTTTCAACAGAACGTGTCAACGAAATTTTCCGATTGTGTTATCTTTGTATATTTTTAAATCTAGCAAATTAAAGAAAATATCTGAAACCATTTGAAGCACGGAAGGTTGCGTTGTGATTTAATTGAGACCAGAAAGATCATTTGAGGATTCTACAACTGCCCTGCAGTCTATGTAACTATCTTATAACAAAATTGTGAGACACGGACTTAAATAAATCAGAAGGCCCTACAGGGAGAACCATTCCAATCACGGCTTATTCATCAGATGTGTGTTTACCCATGGAAATGATTGCTTCCTGAACTTGTTAGTACAAACTCAACCTCATATTCAAGATCAACTTACATTCTGCAATCAACAAAAATATGATTTTCATTCAATAAATAGATCTTCCTTCACACGTAGGCAACCGAATTAACTCAAATTTAACGCCTAATCTTTCATATAACCAATTATAATTGTTATATTGTCTCTTTGTCTCTTGCAGCTTTGCCTTCGCTTCCTTCATCAGAGTCATATTCATTGTTTTGCGTTTTCCTACGAGTCTCTTCACTCCCAAGGTCTTCCTCTACGGCATCAATCCATCTCATGGGGTCGTCCTCTTCTCCTTCCTGCCAAGCGGCCCACATACACATTCTTTGATACGAGATTGTCGCCATTCTATGGACGTGGCCAACCCAGTCCTCTGATTTTTGCACTGTTGGCACATTTACCGCCATGTTGCTTCAAATTGGGCTCCTCGTTTTTAATAAGTCACTTTTCATGTTCTTTGAAGGCGTTTCAGAGGAAAGGATCATACATTTCAAATTCGCGCTCATGGGAAAGTCTAATTCTACTCAAAAAGCCGCGCGAATTTCTTCCCGGTTGACCAAGTACTCACTTCTTTCGTACAAAGTCCCTTGACGTAGATTCGTCAACTACTTCCTGTTAGTTCGAAGCGTCACTGAATGATCGCATCAGCTCCTCGTGCGAACCATGTGTGACATTGTCAAAATTCCGAGAATAGCCAGATTTCCAAGTTAGACGCCACGAGCTAACATTTCCATCTGATGCAAAGTGCAGAAAGCTTAGTAAAAACGTGTTGGACGCTTTCAAGGTTCGATTCAGGGTGTGCCAGGCACTGGATGCAGTCGTGAACATGAAGTAAAACGCCGAAATTCGTAAAGAAACGTTTGATTTCGTCTAGACAGAGGTAACTGTGACAATCTCTTCAATACTCGTTAATTCTTTTTCCAAGTAACAATCTTTGTCATTTGTGTGTCGTCTCCTTTTCAGAACACTTCTGTCTGATAAAAAACTACTTATAGAAGAGGCGATGTTTCGTTGTAGCTTCTACTAATTGCTCTCCCAACTTACGTTACGATTAATTTGCAGCCTCAACAAGCACTAACAACAATATTTGGGCCCTTGTACAGTACACGTAATTCCAAGTTGGTCCTACTCCTCCATATTCCATCATGCTTAATACGCCCATAAATTCTTCTCGACATTTTTCTTTCCCGTACCGTCAATTCTCTATTCTTTTGTGACCTAGCTATGGAATTACCGAAAGGGTCGAAAATGGGTCATCGTCGGAACTCGACCCCTAGGATCCAACGGCCAGTCGCTGCAAAGGACAGACGTTGTTGCATTCGGAGAGCAGTAGAGCTCAGGAGAAGGCCACGTGATGGGCGAAACGTCAGCTCAACCGCCTCTGACCGCCTCTGCTCGGTCCGGACAGCCAAGTCCAACCAAACGACGACGGCTGATGCCCTAAGCCAAATCAGCCCGTCTGCCGTACACGGCCTAAGCGTCAGTTTTACTGAAACTTTCGAGTTTTTAAAAATCACACCTAGTCTACATCGTTTATTTCAGAACATTGCTAGAATTATTATTAAAATCCTTTTTAGTAGATCGCCCACAGATGTGCTTGAAATGATTGTTTGAAATCTAAAGTGTGTTCGTGTATACATTTTCCTTTCTTCTTTTTTAGTAACAACAGCATCCTTACAGACACTGAATTGATGTGGTCGTTAGTTTTTGCCTACAGATCGCTGGGACGCAGTTTAATGCGAGAGTCGAGTAATTTTTCGGATTTAAACATTTTGTAAGGATCGAGTACAATTCATTGATTTCAACAGCAGAAGTAGTAATGCCATTAAAACTTCAGAAACAAAATGCAATTTGTCGAAAATCCCAACCTTGTTTAGTAATAGTGTTTAAAGAAATGGCTAAAGTATTCAAAGAATTAAATGTTGAAACAATATAATATTAGGTAAACCGTACAAATTATCTACAGTAACGGATTTTGTAACACCACTTGTTTTATTGATGCAGTATTGTTGTGGCCAGTCTCCAAAATTTCAGTCAAAAGTTACTTTTTTCTTGTAATCTATAATAAAAAACGACGCATTGTGTTAAAAAATTATAAAAAAGGAAATGGTACTACGAAATGATGTTGATTACAACAAAACTGCAGGTATATTCATTTGTGAGATCGGGAATTAAATTGCCGACGCTCGGAAGCCCCGTCATATGCCCAGTGGAAGTTTATTTGCAGCGTTTCGCCACACATGTCGCACATAGTAAATTGCTTCCCTTCACAAGTGCGTGCTGGTCTTTGTGAAGGTTAATGCGTCCGCGACCGTGAAAATAATTGACGTTAAAGAGAATGAGCGAGTCTAATGTTGCAATGGGATAGCAAACGCAGTGGCAGAGTTGTGCTGTGGGCGGCCAGGGCCTGCTTCAGGGTGACGAGGCCGGGCTTCGAACCCTGGGACTGGCGATGGAAGGGGCACAGGGCGGTCTGGGACGGCGGCGGCGTGCAGGGGCCGGGCTTCGAGTCCTGGGGCTGGCGGTGGCGCTGTGGGGGGCGTGGCTGGGGGTTGAGACGCGGAGCGTGTGTGTGCCGTGGGAGGGGGCGGGGCCGCCCGTGGCGGGCGTGCAGTGGGCGCTGGGGGGCGCGGGCGTGGGCGGGGGCCGGGCGGTGGGCGTGGTGGACCTGGGCGACGGCCCGCGCTGGCTACGCGCCCTGCACGCCCGCGCCGCGGCGCCGCTGCTGCTGTGGCGCCCGTCTGCGCCGCTGTGGACGCGCACCGCGCCCGCGTGGCTAGAGAGGCAGGGCGGCTACGTGCTGGCTGCCTTCCACCACGACCACCTCCTCGCCTTCCTGCTCCTACTCACGAAGGACGCCGTCTATGACGGCTTTAGGGAGGTGAGTTACCATTTAAATCGGTACTACAGTACCGAATGTACTACAGTAAAATCTGTCTAAATCGGAACCTGTACAAGCCGGAAACCTGCCTTAACCGGAAAAATTCTCCGGCCCATGGAGTTAAATGGCATTTTACACAGCATAAAACGGAAGCTGTCCAACGCTGAAATGAAACAATTTTTCGTCTCTTGCAGGAGGGGGAACCTTCTTAAAATGGAATTTCTGCCAACTGAATACAATTAGCAAAGAGACGCGAGATCATCTTCTTATTCATTATGTAATTTATTGTTTTTTATTTTCCATTCACAGAGCAAAATACCTGAAATCTTTACAATCACAACGAAAACGCAGTGTATCTGACATTTCGCGGTCCAATTGCTACTGCAATTATGGGAACGTAACAAAAGAATGATAACTAATAAAGGGCACAAGATTTTCGATATAATAGATGGGAACATTATGTTGCTGTATTACGAATGGACGAGAAAACATAAAAGAAGTAATTGAAATGTCCCCTACAATGTGTCTAAAATGTGATGAACTGCTTCATATTTGTAGTTATAGTATTTCTAGCATCATACAGTTGATAAAAGTAGTTTATAAAATTATTTTGTTTATTACTGTTATTTGTGGTTGTAACCACAAAACTCACGTTTCTTTACGTTTATTTGAAAATACTAATGCTCAAACAAGTTACAAATTACAAGCCTTTGCCTTCACAAAAAGTTGCCCTATTGTCCGACCTCCTTCCAGAAGTACACTTGTTTTTGTATGTACTAAAGACAATACCAACCCAAAATTGTTTTTATTTTTATACTAATAAAGTTCTTAGAAAAAGTGATATCATACAACCCAATCTCGAAAAAAAAAGGATTATATGGACTAATATGTCTTTGTTGTGCTAAATATGGCCAAAAAGGATATGTTTATTTACTTTAATTTCTTCTCGAATATAAATATACTACAGGTGACGTAAAATTTTTAACTATTTAAGAAAACAATCATTTGAATCTAATGAATGTGGTCCATTGTAATGGAATAATGCCATGAGGAATACAACTATTTCTTTCCTTTTCATAAAAATGACCAGAATCTGCTGATCTAAATCGGTATCAAAATTACAAAAAT